ATGTTGGCCAGGCTGGTCTCGATCTCCTGACCTCAGGTGATCCACCCGCCTTGGCCTCCCAAAGTGCTGGGATTACAGGCATGAGCCACCGCGCCTGGCCTGGTTTCGAACTCTTGACCTCAGGTGGTCTGCCCACCTTGACCTCCCAAAGTGCCAGAGTTACAGGCATGAGCTGCTGCGCCTGGCGCTTTTGGTAAAAGTAACCTGGAATTTGGGAGAGAAGATCAAACTCTTCATGGGACATGGGTTATTTAAATTACTTTGGATGTCACCTCTGGAAAGTATTTATCAACCCATCTTCTGACTTCTACTGCTCTGGAAGCTCGGAGGCCAGAGGCCTTGCCTAGTCCATCTCAGGATGGCTAGTATGTCTAAAATGACAGTCTGATCACGTCTCTTCCTTCAAAACCCTGGGGACTCCCAGCCATCTGCTGAGTAAAGTCATCTTCTCACGGAGCATGTGAGACCTGTGATCAGTCCCCTCCCTGGGGGCCCCCTCCCTGGACTGCCCCTCAGCCTCTCCTCCCTGCTGCTGCCTGTGCCCCTCCCCACAGTGAACCCTGACTTGGTGTCTAAGGCTCTGCTCTATTGTCCACCCCTTGTACAAGCCTCCCCCTTGTACCACTTCCCGCATCTCCAGGAAGTGCTTCTGTGGAGCCATGTCTGGCTCATAGTGCAGTACACCATGGCCGTGGGTTAGCAACTGACCTGCGTGCTGGGCTGTGTCTGGTGCCCCTCCATACCCTTGCCCTTGCCCAGGTGCCTCTAGAATCTGATGACAGCCTGGGGAGCAGGCTTCTGCAAAATCAGGTGCACAGACAACTCGCACGGGAGCCTCGAGCCTGACAGAGGTACAGTGGGCATCCCGTGAGCATGAGTTGATTCCTGGTGGGCAGGATCAGGCTCCTAGACTGACTGGGGGGACTTTTCTTATATCTCCCCAGGGAACAGAAGGCCAAGAGGAACAGCCAGTGGGTACCCACCCTGCCCAACAGCTCCCACCACCTGGATGCCGTGCCATGCTCCACGACCATCAACAGGAACCGCATGGGCCGGGACAAGAAGAGAACCTTCCCCCTTTGGTGCGGATGTGTCGCTGCGCTCACCCTCCGTGCTGATTCTCCCTTAGTTCTCCAGCACATTTCAGTCCCCTCCTCCCCAGAAAAACACTGCTTTGACCTTGTGCTCCCCACAATGCTACAGTACCTCCTCCTCTTTGAACCGCTGTGTTTCCCTGACCTCCAGGACATTGTCTGTAGCCTCTTTGGCTCTGTCTGCTGTCACCTTGCCGTGTCCTCCTCACCTCTCTGGCCCCTCAAGTAGAGTTACTTGGGGCGCGGTCCTTGTGCCCTTTCTCTGCCCTCAGTTTCACACGAGTGGGTCATAGCCAGTCTGACGGTTCACATGCCATCCACGTGACTCCCACTGCGCCACCACTTCCCAGAGGCTGCTGGAATAAACCACCACAAACGGGTGGCTGCGAGCAGTGCACAGTTCTTCCCTCACAGTTCGGGGGCCCAGGAGCCCAGATTTGGTTTCACTAGACCAGATGCACGTGTAGACAGGGCCGTGCTCCCTCCAGAGGCCCTCGGGGCGATTCGGTCCTTGCTGCCTCCAGCTTTGGGGGCTGCCACATTCCTGGGCTTGTGGCTGCCTCACTTCAATCTCGGCCTCTGTGGTCATGTGGCCTTCTCTGCGTGAAATCTCCCTGTCTCTCTCTTAGAAGGACACTTGGTGATGTAATTTAGGGTCCTTCTGGTTAACCTCTCAGGATCTTTCACTTAATCGCATCTGCAGTGTCTCCTTTTTTGGCCATATGAGGTGACAGTCATAGGTTTTGGGGATTAGGCTGTAGATGTCTTTGGGGTCTGTTTTTTACCTCTGTGGTCCAGACTTCCTCAGCTGCCCTCACCCCCTCAGCCTCATGCTGCCTGAAGACTTCTCCATCGGCGCATGGAGATCCAGCCGTCTCCTTGCTCAGGCTGTAGCTTTCTTTCCCAAGGCCTGGCTTTTCCTCACATAGCAAGTCCAGTCTCTCCAGGGTCCCACCCGGGACTGCCTTGGCCAGCCCCCCACCGCTCTCCCTGGGGTCTCTAGCAGCCCCTGCCTCCCCTCCCTGTTGCCTTCTCAGCTCTGCAGCTGGTGTGTCCTTTGCTCCAGGCATATCGTGTCACCTCTCCACGCAAAATCCTCCAGGCTCCCCATCACCCTCGGAGCAGAAGGAGGAGTTCTCACTGGGGTGCCAGGCCCAACCTGGCCTGGTGCTGCCACTGCCACACTCTGCCCCACTCACTCTGCCTCAGACCTGAGATCGCCCTCACTGCTGTCAGACCTCCCAGAGCTTCTGTCCAGCAGTTGCCTCTGCTAAGGTTTAGCCCGTTCTCCTTCCTCCCCTCTTTCCTTTCTTCTTTCTTTCCTTCCATCATTTCTCCTTCCCATCCTTCCCCCTCCTCCTTTTCCTTCTCTCTTCCTTCCCTCCATCTCTTCTTCCCATCCCTAGTTGACTGTCCCCTTCTCCCTTAGAGTGGCCACCCCTTTCCTCCAGCACCCCTACCCCTTTCCCTGTCTGTTTCCCAGTGCATTCATGCCTGGCACTCAGCTCGTTTCTCTCTCTCTTCCATCTGCCTCCCAAGATCGCTGGGGCCCTTTTCAGCCCTCTCCATGCTCCCAGATGCCCTTAGGTGTCCTCTGTCCTCCAGCTCCATCTCACCAACCTGCCTGCCCAACTCTTCCCTCTTTATCTTCCCAAAATACTCAACTCCATTGCTTGGAATCCTCCTGGGACTCCCTCAGGGCAGTGGCCAGTTTGCGTAGCCTGAGAGGAGAACTGTGGGTGCTTCGACACCCGCTAGCTTTGCAGCATCCCTGACCACTGCCCCCCATGGAATCTGTGCTCTGTGGTCTGTTTGTGCGTCCTCAGCAGTTCCTCCATTCACCTGCTTTGGCCTTACTGGAATATATCCTCTTCTAGAAATGCTATTCTGCTTGCCTACAGCCTTCTGTGAAAGTCCTGCCAAATTTCAGGCTTAAATATCCCTTCACAGGACATCTGGGTTTTGTTCCAGCACTGCCCGGGTCGATCCTATTGCAGACAGACTGGTGCTTGTCATTTATGGACCCACCTGTCCCCATTAGACCATGGCCCTGGGACCCCTGCTGCCTCAGCTGTTAGCTGATAAGTGACCATGTTCCGTAGATGGGTTTGCAGAGGCCTGCTGTGCAGAGAGGGAGGCTGAAAATTTGCATGCCTAGGGCCCTGGCACCCTCACTGACTGTTGCTTCCATTTCACTTTCAGCTTTGATGACCACGACCCAGCTGTGATCCACGAGAACGCATCTCAGCCCGAGGTGCTGGTCCCCATCCGGCTGGACATGGAGATCGATGGGCAGAAACTGCGAGATGCCTTCACCTGGAACATGAATGGTACGAGGCAGTCGGGCTTGGCTGGGCCTGGCCCCAGCCCCTGTGTGTTACGTGGGAACAGTCCCCTTTCCTACCAGCTGCCTGTCAGGCAGATTCTGGACCTGACATGCGGGACATCGGGGCATAGTTGGAGGGTGTGGGCTCTGGGTTCAGCCCTGGTTCTGTTGCTGTTCACTGTGGGTTGGGCATGTGAACTTCGGACTCCTTTCCCCATATTGAGGTTGGGGGGCCCAAGGGGCCTGGCATGGGAGGTGGCTGGTGTGCATAGCATGGATGATGATGACAATGCCACTTAGACCTAGTTCAGCCCCCGAGCCCTGCACACACCTGCCTTGGGTCCTGTCCACCACCCTGTTTCTGCTGTGTGAGGCTGCATGTGTGCCCCGTGCCTCTCTCCTCCCCTAACTGGTCATCTCTTTAGATATCCTCACTCTGTAAGTCCTGGGTCAGGTGCCATCTCTTCTGGCTCTTCCTGGGCTTCCAAAGCCTGAACAGAACTCAGTCTTTGTGCAGATGTAGACAGAAAGGTTAGAAGGGTATGCATCCCAAGTGTCTAGACTGCTTATCCCATCTGGGAGGGAGGATCATGCATGCATTTATTTTTCTATTTTTTTCTAAGTCTGTTAGAATGTATTTTTGTTATTTTATTTTATTATTACTGTTTTTTTAGATCTTGTTGAATACCAGGTTTTTTTGTTTTTTGTTTTTTAACTTAGTGTCTGTATCCTGCTGAATTTTTATAATGAACATACTCTTTATATTCAGACAAAATGCAGTGAATATCATCTTTATTTTATTTTACCTATTTTATTTTGTTTTTTTTTAAGAGACAGAGTCTCACTCTGTTGCCCAGGCTGGAGTGCAGTGATACTCTCATATCTCGCTGTAATCTTGAGCTGCTGGGCTCAAGCAATCCTCCTGCCACAGCCTGCCAAATAGCTAGGAATACAGGCATGTTCCACTGTGCCGAGCGTTATTTTTAAATGGATGAATGTTTAAAATCATCAGAATCTCACCACCCGAATAATGTTTTCAGTTTTACCTTTTCTCTCTGTCAATTCCACATGCAAACATATTTAACACAGTTGTCACTATAGAACAAGTCTTGTTTTATTTTTCTTCACTTGTCCTAAGTATCTTTCTGGTTTCTTTTTTGTGTGTGGGGGGAAATGGAGTCTCACTCTGTCGCCCAGGCTGGAGTGCAGTGGCGCGATCTCAGCTCACTGCAACCTCCACCTCCTAAGTTCAAGCGATTCTCCTGCCTCAGCCTCCTGAGTAGCTGGAACTACAGGCACCCGCCACCATGCCTGGCTAATTTTTGTATTTTTAGTAGAGATGGCGTTTCACCATGTTAGCCAGGCTGGTCTTGAACTGACCTGAGGTGATCCGCCTGCCATGGCCTCCCACACTGCTGGGATTACAGGCGTCAGCCACTGTACCCAGCCTCTTTCTGATTTCTTTAATCTTCAAACAGTGCAGCATTTTCTACTGGGTCGAGGTACCTTTGTTTGCTAAAACACCCTCTGCTGTAGACGTCTGCACGGCAGATAACATAGTTGCAACATTTTTCTCTCGGAAGGGATTTCCTAAGGGAGGAGAGTATGAGTGGTTGTGGCTGCCTTGAGCTTTCTGGAAGGATTAGGCTGCTTCTTTTGGTCATCCCCAGGCACTCGGCATGCTAGGCCTGAGTGCTAGGACTACCACTTGCTCACACTAGTGCCAGGCCTGAGTCCAAAGGCTTCTGCTCAGCCCTGAGAAGAATGCCTGAGAGCCACGTGCCGGGTGCCTGTCGCCTAGGTCCCACAGGTTAGCTGGTGAGCGGGGACACCAGGGAGAGGAGACATGGGTGAGGGGGGACACTGGCAAGAGACTCCAGGAGGTTGTATTGAGTGTAGATGGGGACAGGTACAGTTCACTGGTCATGCCCCAGAACAGGGACAGGACAGCCCATGGGCACCAGGCCACCAGCGCTGCACAATGCCTGTTATCTCTGCCAAGCTGCCTGCTTCTCTCTGCTGGCCCACATCAGAGTTATTTGTTAATTCTTGTCTCTCCCTCTCCATTTCAACCCTTTAAGGTCAGGAGTCTTGTTTTTCATTGCCGTTTTCTTTTGAGATGGAGTTTCGCTCTTATTGCCCAGGCTGGAGTGCAGTGGCACGATCTCAGCTCACCACAACCTCCACCTCCCAGGTTCAAGTGATTCTCCTGCCTCAGCCTCCCGAGTAGCTGGGATTACAGGCATGTGCCACCATGCCTGGCTAATTTTGTATTTTTAGTAGAGACGGGGTTTCACCATGTTGGTCAAAGTGGTCTTGAACTCCTGACCTCAGGTGATCCGCCCACCTCAGCCTCCCAAAGTGCTGGGATTACAGGTGTGAGCCACTGTGCCCGGCTGCTGTTTCTCTTAACATATCATCTAGCCCAGCATAGGAATTTAGTTGTTCACATTGGATCAGTCCATGCTCTGTCTCATTACGTTTCTTTGGGCAACACATAGAAAGTTCCGGTTTGTTTATACCCCCATCCTGTTCCAAAAAGCATGTAAGGAAGCTTACCATAAGTACACTGGGCCCAAATGATTAAAGCAAATGCAAATGGAGTGGTTAGGAAAAACTGGATAAAGAAGAAATGTTCAAGTTGAAGAGGGAGCTTGCACTCAGATTTTGTTTGGTGAACATTGCTGGGAATTGGGCGTGGCTCTGGGCCTTTTTAGAACCAGGCAGAGTGAGACGTGAGGATCGTTTGCACACTCAGTGTGGTCAATGTTAGCAGCAGCCTGTGGCTCTGAAGAAGTAGAATCACACGTGGTCCTGGAATCTGAGGTTTCCTGCAGCCCTCAGGAAGAGGGCACGGTATAGTAAGGAAGACCAGGATCATCCATGAACTCCACAGTGAGTTTCACTGGGCTGTTCCTCCTAAGAGTCCTCATGTAAAATATGATGTCCACTGAAAGTAATTTAGAACACAGTCTTAACTGGTGGAGAACCAAAATAGTGTTGTTCTGTGAACTCTTCCTCAGCTCTGGGTGGTATTTGGCGTTTGTAAGAGCTGTGATTCTTAACTGGTGGTTAGAAGGCCGTGCCAAAATTTTACTGATTTGCTTTGAAATTTCAAATCATCTTAAAGGTGGGCATGAGAGTCTTTATCACAGAGGGATTAAATATGTAAAGTAGCATTACTGGAGTAGCATGAATGAAGTGTATGTTCTTCAGGCCACCTTCAGAATCAGGATTGGCCAGGCGTGGTGGCTCACACCTGTAATCCCAGCACTTTGGGAGGGTGAGGTGGGAGGATCACTTGAGGCCAGGAGTTTGAGACCAGCCTGGCCATGATGGCGAAACCCCATCTCTACTAAAAATATAAAAATTATTCGGGTGTGGTGGTGCATGCGTGTGGTCCCAGCAAGTTGGGAGGCTGAGGCACAGGAATCGCTAGAACCCGGGAGGCAGAGGTTGCAGTTAGCTGAGATCATGGCGTTGCACTTCAGCCCGGGCCACAGAGTGAGACTCTGTCTCAAAAAAAAAAAAAAAGAAAAAGAAATCAGGGTTTTTCTCAGGTTTCTGGTAGGTGTTGTGATGCATTTGAGGTTATCTTCTCTGAAAAGGACTTGAAGTAGGGCTTCTCTGAACCACTGGTGAAGTATGGTGTCACCTGCCTTAAGAGTCTGCTGAAGAAGGGAAGCATTAAAATCCTCCAGAAAAGATGAGCTGCCTAACCAGAACACATGCAGACATAGATGCCATCTTCACCCAGAAGGGGAACAAGGGAATCACCTCAGGAAGAGGTTTGGAATCTGTCTTGGCACACAGGCAAAGGAGTGATTAGGGTCCTGAGTGTCTACACTTGGCTATAGAAGGCAAGTTTTTTTGTTTTTTTTGTTTGTTTGTTTTTGGTTTTTTTTTTGAGACGGAGTCTCGCTCTGTTGCCCAGGCTGGAGTTCAGTGGCGCGATCTCGGCTCACTGCAAGCTCCACCTCCCGGGTTCACGCCACTCTCCTGCCTCAGCCTCCCAAGTAGCTGGGACTACAGGCGCCCGCCACCACGCCCAGCTAATTTTTTTGTATTTTTAGTAGAGACGGGGTTTCACTGTGGTCTTGATCTCCTGACCTCATGATCCACCCGCCTCGGCCTCCCAAAGTGCTGGGATTACAGGCGTGAGCCACCGCGCCCGGCCTAGAAGGCAAGTTTTTAGACATTTATATCCACATGCTTGTTTTGGACTCTAAAAAATTAAATGAGGCTGAGCACAGTTGTTCACACCTGAGACTGAGGCGGGCAGATCACTTTGCCCGGGAGTTCAAGACCAGCCTGGGTGACATGTTGAAACCCCATTTCTACAAAAATTCCCCAGATGTGGTGGCACATGCCTGTGATCTCAGCTACTTGGGAGGCTGAGGTGGGAGGATCGCTTGAGCCTGGGAGGTTGTGGCTTCAGTGAGCCGTGATTGAGCCAGTGCACACCAGCCTGGGCAACGGAGTGAGACCCTGACTCAAAAACATTTTTTTTTAAGCTTAAAAAAAAATCAAATGATAGATTCAAGAAGCCAAGTGAAGCCCATTATGATTAACCCAAAGCAATCCATGCAAAGACACATCATAATTAAATTTCTGGAAACTCAACACAAAGAAAAAAATCTTGAGAGCAATCAGAGAAAAGGACAACTTACCTGTAGGGAAAAGACCGTAAGAATAATGGTAGATTTCTTTTTTTTTTTTTTTTTTTTTGAGACAAAGTCTCACTGTGTTGCCCAGGCTGGAGTGCAGTGGCACTATCTTGGCTCACTGCAAGCTCCGCCTTCCGGGTTCACGCCATTCTCCTGCCTCAGCCTTTCGAGTAGCTGGGACTACAGGCGCCTGCCACCACGCCTGGCTGATTTTTTTGTATTTTTTAGTAGAGACGGGGTTTCACCTTGTTAGCCAGATGGTCTTGATCTCCTGACCTCGTGATCCGCCCACCTCGGGTTCCCAAAGTGCTGGGATTACAGGCATGAGCCACTGTGC